TTGGCGAAAACCCACACCAAGGCGTATCGCCACACTTCCTGGTCTACAGCGGACACTGACAATGCACTCCAAGTGTGGACATATGTTATGGGTGCGCATCCCCGAAAACGCCTGCTGGACTCTGTTCTAGCCCTTGTGTTGGCCCAGGGCATCTACCGCGTGGCCCATTTTAGGGGTATCGAGGCACTGTACTACACCACCCATCATGGGATAAGTCAACTTGCGGAGATGAAAACTATTAACGCAAGGGGATTCTGTCTTTTTTATTTGTATGTGACCTTTCAGGTCGTGTTTATTTAGGTTTCCGTTGGGTAAACTGGGTGGCGTCTTAAAATAACTTGAAAGAAAAAGGCGACTCCCATGCCTTACCCAGCTGTACTTCCGCTACAAGCCCGCGCCTTCTTTCCTCTCCATCTGCATCGACAGTTGTACGCATCAACAGTCTGCTTCCTCACTGCGAACTTTGACGCTTATCATTTACTGACCGATTGGTAGTACGGCCTAGACGCTTCTCTGACCCACGACGATCAGACGCGCATGTCGGCGTTCGCTAACAGAGGCTTGTACGTTTTGGCCCGATAACAGCGGTCTACTCAAGCTGATCCCTCCGACAGATGGCCAAGGAAAACACCATATTGCGATCAACATCAGTCAGTACATATTGGGGACACGACAGAGCACCGACCATCCTAACTACCAGCTCGCGATAATGTGTCATCCACCGGCGAATGTGCTCGGGTGGACGAATGACTGGTAAAAACATTCTGTCTCAAAAACCTATCCATATCCTGATTTCGCCTTTTATTTTTTCCATCGAGTAGCTGGAGTAGCAGAGAGCGAAGTTAGTTCAAGACACCATTTCTTGCTAGCTTCTGAAAACGCATTCTTCATTTAGAATGTTCGGACCCGATATCCTCCTCCCCTCGTCCTCACACAATCGTAACTTGCTGTTATCACAGCAATTATGGTACAGAGTTTCGTTGCCGCGTCTCCCTCCGTGTCTTAAACTTAGATCTGAGCACAACCAAGAATCGGACTGGCCAGCCCCGGTACGTGTTACGGCGGCAAGACTGACAGGCCTTTACTAGCTCACTGCAGCGTTAAAGTCGGTCTCATCCAACACGCTCGTTCTGCCTGTTGTTGTTTCAATTTTGACTTGCTCCTCCTGTGCGTCAACCACTCACACATCTCCACCTTCGACACCCCACCCTTTACCTGTAAAGAGGACTTTGTTGCTTTTTTTTCTGCTGACAGCGCGCCCTTGCTGAATTCACTTGAGCAACACTCCGAGCTCGTCTCCTCGTTGTGCGCAACTCCGTCGATTGCTGGCTATCTCCCTACTGCGTAACAAGGCGACCATACTGCCCGACTCAGGTATCCGTTTGTCGGACAAACGATAGTTGCCAATAACGAATTTCCGAAATAAAAAAAAGTCGGGGATACGGGATTGGTAGGACAAAGGTTGCCGTGGCCCAGGGCGCACAAACGTCTCAGAGCGCGGCAAGTGAAGTTGTCCACGGTCGAGGCATACGCGCGCTGCCCAGCCGGAAAGCTTGGCCTTGGTGAGGTCAATACGGCTCGGCCAATCAGGAAGCTCGCATCTGCATGAGTGGTCGGCTTGAAGTCTG